AAGCAAATGGCATTTATTTATAGCAAACTGTATTTGCTAAATGCTTTGCAGGCTTGAGGTTGTTAACTACATTCTATGTTGGCTCTTCTTCTTCTCCTTGTAAGAAAGCTAGGTGTCAGGGCCTAACTGTAGAGCTCCCCCAGATAGCAATGGGGTGAATTCTGCAAACTGACCTAGCAAGTGGGGAAGGTGGGTGTGCTTGATCAGAAGGCACTTTTGTCATTTATAATCTTTGATTGTATAACTTCTAATTGTAACTTGTTCCTTATGTTCAGAAGGTTGTGTGCTTGTTGAAATAGAATATTCATTTAACTAAGAGACCTCATAGTGTTTCAAATTACTAGGGCAACTCTACCCAGGACGAAAGAGGGGAGAAGTACCAAAGAATTGTAGTAGAAGTAGGCGATGGAAGGGGAGAGTCATTCACTGTAAAAAAAATATAAGGTTGAGTCTCCTCACTACAACTCCTCACACACAAACCTCTCTGCCTCCCTCCTACACAAAGCAAGAGTTAAAAGCAGATGTCAAAGATCAGACATTCTGGAAGCTTTTAAGACTTGAGCTACTCTTTCACTTTCCCAAGACATGTTGGTTGTTGGTGCTTTCTTTAGGCAAAGGGAGATTTATCTGGGCTCTCAACATCGGACTTCATCATTTTAAGGAGTATTTCCCAATTGTATCTTTAACTGCATATAGAAAATGCATTTCTTCTGTGAAATATCTTGCTCACATTCACATCTCTGTTCTTTGCTGAGATCTGAATAGGTGGCTTCTGGGAGCTTGCTGCTCATTACTTCTGTGTAAATCTAGCTTCTCTCTAAACAGCTCCATGCTACATGATGAGGGGACCAGAGGGACAGTTGGTCTGGCCTGCAGCAAGGCCCATTTTATGTGGACATTAATTTTTTTCAGGAAAAGGAAAATGATTCTCAATAGAAACAGGTTTAGAAGGCTTACCTCCATCTTCCGCTGCACCCTCCTACCATCCCTCTTTATCCTCTAACCTTGTCACCTATCCAGGGATGAGGAATATTGAGGGGGATTACATGTATCTTGCTTTTAATTGAGACAGCAGAAGACAATAGCAAGGGGAGCAGCCCTTCAAATGCTTAGCAGCGATTTCAAGCCTTAATGATGGAGAGCAGTAGGAGTGGGAGGGTCCTACCTCCGCTCCAGGTTGTGTTTGGAGCTACAATGCCCTCTAGTGACCCCATTTGTCTGTGACAGCTGCAACATAAGTAAGGAAGGAGCAAGTGTGTTTGCTCGCGCGCTGGCGGTGGGGAATTTCCTGTGTAATTTGGGATTAAAGGTGACAGAAAAGTAATTTGGTGGCATATGATATTCCCTTTGAAGTAACTTTTACTCCATGCAATTTTTTTCACCCTTAAGTCTCTGACTTTATTTTTCTTCTTAAGATGATTTATGAAATTATTTACTTATCTAACTTTTATTATGCGACTGGAAAAATTCTAACTACACAATTTTTTAAAAGTAGTCTTCTCGTAAAACCCAGTTGCTTTCGAGTTGTCTCCGACTGTTTTGGAAGTGGATAGCCAGATCTTTCTTCACAGATAACTCTAGGTGGACTCAGACTTCCAACCTCTCAACGTGTTAGCCATTTGTACCCCTTACTTGTACATAAAATAATTTCCCATGGTTCCAAGGTGGTTAGGTAAAATTTATTGCATCTTTCCTTTTCTAGTCGTAGAAGGCATTTTAGATTTGATATTGCCATCTAGTGGTCACTCTGTGGAAATCCTTTCCCCCACCTCGGTCGACCATAGTCTCAGCAAGGGGGGCTAAGATGCACTTGATTGTAAGTTTCATGGAGACCAATCAAGAGACCCTCAAGCACGCCAGCAAAACTTGCACTACATTTAAAAATTTTTATCTCAAAAAGTACTGTATATTTACTGCATTTTTTGGAATTTCATTTAATCTTTGCTAAAGGAGCAAGGAGGTGGCATCTTTTGGCCTCCTGTAACTTCACAAGAGGAAGATAGAATCGCCATTAACAGCCCAAGGCCTGTTCTTATGAGGCCAGACATACTGCCACCCTCTAGCCCTCTTAACCAACCTTGAAACAAACTGTCCCTCCCACAGGTTCGAGAATTCGCTGCAGTGGCCACACAGAACTCACAGATTATGGGGTTTATTAGGGAAGCAACAGGCTATAATTGAAGTTCAGGAACATGCTCAGTCTCTCTCAGCCAGCTGTCTATCTCAGCAGTATGTCTCTCTCTCAGCAACATGTCTCTCTCAGCAGTACGTCTCTCTCTCAGCAACATGTCTCTCTCAGCAGTGCATCTCTCTCGCATCTCTCTCTCAGAAGTGCATCTCTCTCATGTCTCTCTCATGTCTCTCTCTCAGCAGCCAGCAGTGAGAGATTCCTTCTGCCTCTAGGAGGGCTCATTTTGAGCCTGGCAGAGTGGCAAAACCAACCAATCCCAACATCAGAGTTCCACACACTTGAGAGAGAGTGAACCTTCCCAGAAGATTACTTTGTGCTGCCCCAAGTGAATAATTTTAACAAGCACCTACTCAGTTGCTCACAGCAAAGTGGGACTTACAAAGACTATGGCTAGAAAAGCCATACCATGTAATTTACTACACTGTACTCTCTCAACGAATGAAGTCCCATTTACCCAGAAATCACACCAAGGATCTTAACCTCTCACACTACTCCCACTTCCGATTAGCAGCTGAGTGTTTAACCACTGTAGCACCAGAAATAATCCATTTATTCCTGAAGAAGTTTAGGAGCCTGCCAGGGGATGGGATGAGCAGATTCCTGATGGGATGAGCAGATTCCTGAGCTAGATTGTGGCCACTTTGTAAATATTCCCAACAAGAGACTGACTGAGTTGCATAAACCTGTGTGTCAATAAAGATTTTCACGTGGATTAAAGTAACTTTGGAACTAGTTGGTATGAGCCTCTAGGCCTCCTACTTGATTCCATTATTCTTGGCTTGGGTGTGTACAGCTATGCAGTTATGTTTTATTATTATTGTTGTAAAGATATAGGTAACACAATATTTATCAATTCAATAGTTTTCACATGTATAGTCCAGTGAAACCAATTATATCAATCATGTTGTGCAACCATCACCAACATCCATTGCCATACTTTCTATCTTCATAAATTCAGTGCTAGCTAAACAAAGACTCCCTATTTCTCCTTCCCTTCTGCCCCTAGTAACCACTGTTAAACTCTGACCTCTATATGGCTGCCTATTCTAAGTATTTCGTATTAGTGAGAACATACAGTATTTTTCCTTTTTGTGATGGTCTTATTTCACTAAGCATAATGTTTTCAAAATTCATTCATGTTGTGACTTTATTTTTCTTTATGACATAGCAATATTCCATTCTGTGTACATACCATGTTTTGTTTATCCATTCAATAGTTTGTGGGTGTTTGTGTTGCTTCCACCTTTTGATAATAGTACTGGTGTACATGTGTCTGTTAGCATCACTTATGTAGTTCTTTTATATTCTAAGAAGGACTTGAGTTCAATTGTGGGTCTATTGTTAAACAAAATGCAAATGGGACATGAATTCTGTTCCACATTTACAGTCACAGAGTGAAACCTTTGCCTCAACACACAAGAGGAGCTCTGTGTCAGTATACCTCATCTGCACAATGATGATGCTCATCAGGGAAAGAATGGTGGTGAATTCCTTGTGACATTGCCAACTGGGCTCATATCACATAGCAAACAAGGTGTGGAGAATAGCAGATAGTTCCACGTACCCCACAGTAGAGAACTCTTTTATGAAGTCGATGAGTTGTACCTCACAATCACCTTCTGGAACCACTTTGCAAATCTTACCAACCAATTCCCCCAAAGGTCTGGCCCATCAAGTACTGCATTCTTAATGAGTTCAAGAGGACATGAATGAATGTTCTCTGTCTATCCACTGTTTCCAAAAGCCCAGTGGTCTCCCTAAAATTATTTCATATTGAGGATGGCAACTGTGCTGAAAGGTGTCAGAGATCTCTGAAGAAACCCAGTACTCTTCATCAGCAACCTCTACTTCTGTCTTCCTTTAGAGTTAATAGGTTCAATAGAAAATCATGAATGCTATGAAATGAAATATCAAACAGTACTTTTTTGCATAGGGAACAAACCATTATTTTCTGGTAGGTATTTCCCACATTTCCCACCAAAAATAGACCAAGAGTTTCCCTAATTGGCTTTTACTTGTCAAACAAGACTTTGGAGCACAAATCTTTTTTTTTTTTTTTTTTTAATGTCTTTGCCCATCTTTAAGTCACTGATTAATAATGAAGCAGAGAAGTCTTGATTTTTCCTTAAGATGTAGAAGATTTAGAATCAGACAAAACTGGACTTAAATCCCAGCTGTCACAATACATTCACTGTGAGACTGTGAGGCTCTTGGTTTTACTTTCCTCATCTGTAAAAGAGGTATAATGATGGAACCCCATACAGAAAGTTGTCTCAAGGCTTAAATGAGGTCTTAAACAAATCTCCCTTTCATGGTAAAATCTCAATGACTCAGCTATAATTTTGATCAAACTGTTGTGATGATGGTTTGACATGGACAATCTTTCACTGTGATATGTGATTTAAAAACATGCTGTCATTTATTCATTACACAATGCTGGAGGTAGCTACTGTTATTATCCTCACTTTATAGATGAAGAAACTGAGTCATGGAATAATTACTCATTTGTGTAATGATGATTGTCATCAGCACAGATTCCAGAGGCATCCCTTTGAGAGGACCGGTGGAGGTTATGAAGCTCAGAGAAGATCAACCTCCTGTCACATTGGAAGGAACTATTTTCAGCGCTATGGGTCACTTGGAGGGGTGGTTTCCCAAACCATGTGGGATAACAAAGGCACATTTTTACCCCCTCCGTGGCATTTTCTGTCCTCTTAAGGATTGGACATTAGCACTCAGGGTCCCTAAGGTCAGCTAGTCCTTGCTTTTTCCCTTCCTTCACTGTTTCTTTTCCTTTTGTTTCTGGCAGGCAACTCTCCATCCGATGAGTCAGAGGAGCGGGAAAGAGACCCCAAGGTGCTCACGTTCCCAGAATATATTGCCAGCCTGTCCGAGTCTGGCACCAAGCGCATGGCGGCTGGAGTCCGCATGGAATGCCAGAGCAAAGGACGGTGCCCCTCTTCCTGCCCCCTGTGCCATGTGACTTCCAGTCCTGACATCCCTGCTGAGCCAGTTCTGCTGGAGGTGACCAGAGCATCCCCCATCTATGAACTGGTGACCAACAACCAGACCCAGAGGGTAAGAGGCCCGGGACTCTTGGCTCTGGGAGGCGTCAACAACAAAATCTTTACAGATGGCATAAGGAAGTGGCAGGGTGCAGTTGAACTCCATAGTAGAATATGGATAGTGAGACACTGTTTAGCTAATCCAGACACCTTATTTGCTTAGATTTGCATGTTGGCATATTAAATCAAATCAATGGATCCACAACACCAATGATGGTATGATTCAGGAGTCATAACTCAGCCAGAACTTATGTAGTTCTTTGAGCAATAAGAGCTGGAAGGAAGTAGGTAGAGAAAGAGGCATAATTCACTATCACTGAGGTCATAGTTCAGAGTGCCTTAATGCTTCAGAGGGCCAGCTGTAGGGAGGAGGTCCAGCTCTGTCCCACTGGCATGAGAGGTAGTACCAGCTTCCCTAACTCATTCCCAAACCTGAGGCCAGCTTTAGGTAGACTAGAAGGGCATATCAGCCATAGTTCCCAAAGGGAAGGACCCAGCAACCTAAGCCTGAAGGATGGTTGGTTTCCTCCCCATCTCTGGCTCTCACAACAAAATGCCATGTCCATCAGATCTCTGTTAAATCATGATACTTCTGAACCACTCCTTTTTTGCCTCTGCTTCTTCCTTCACAAAGATACAAGAATATGAATGGACCCTAAAAAATAAGCTTGATACAATGACATAGTTCATTTTGCTAGCTTTCTAAGCTTCTCCAGAGAAGGAAAAAGAGCAGGATGGGTCAGCACAAACACACACACACACATACACCACCACCATGACCAAGAATAACGACAACCAAAATGAAACAAGGCAGCTCAGGGTGTGAGGCTTCTGAGATTGTAGGCAAAGGTAGGCTTAGGGACAAGTCATAGTAAGGGTTATAGCATTGAACTGCTTACCAGCCTGAGAGGTGTGCCATCCCAGTGAGGTGATAATTGCCTTCTCTTTTCTCTCTTAAGGACACCTGGTGTGTCACAGATGGTTTTACAGGTGATGATCAGACCATCAGGAAGGATTTTGAATGCGTGTGTATATGTTTCTTTCACCTGTCTGCTTCTGCCAGGGTATTTCATTGAGTGTTTGAACATAAGCTTTTCACAAGAACCAAAAAAAGATAAATTGTTCTTTAGCCTATAACTTCCTCTTCAATCTGATAGAGAGGGCTATGGGAAGAGAAGTAGGAGAGATACCACTCCAGATGGGCTTGAAAAAATAAAGAGAGATTGGGGCTGGGTCGCCATGGAGATTCAGAGCTGCCTAGAGTTTAATCCAGTCCCTGTCTGCCCATCCCCTTACCTGCCCCGTTTTCGCTTCTCTGAGAATCCACGGCTGCTGCAGCTGAAGCCCTGGAGCTCCTGTGCCATTTGCCTGGCAGTAGTAGCAGCAGAGAGCTTACATATGGGGTCACCCCTACAGACCAAGGCCTACATAGGCACAGAATAGAAAAGAGCTGGGTGGGCAAGGAGGGTGCAGAGTCCCTGCTTTCTTTGAGGGGGCCTCAGGTGAAAAGAGGAAGCTGACTAAAGTAGTACCCAAGGCATTTGACTGCTAACCAGAAGGCTAGCAGTTCAAGCTAACCAGCCATTCCTCAGAAGGAAGATAGGGAAATCTACTTCTGTAGAGATACCACCTCAGAAATTCAAGGAGGGGTCGCTATGAGTTGGAACCAACTCTACAGCAGTGAGTTTGTTGGGGTTTTTTTTTGGTTCCTGTCTCCCCTACTTGCCAAATCTCAGCGCTTCCCTTTCTCTTGACCTCAGCTTTAAGAAAGGATGTGGCTCCATTTTGAACACTTTCATTTCTAAACACATTGAATATAAGGCCCCCACTGGAGTTCAGTTGCCATCACATGTTTCTTCTCCCTTTCTTCCTAGTCACATTCTCTTTACCATCCTCTCTCCTCTCCTCTTTCTCCTTTTAATTTTACCCAGTTTTTCCAGAGTCCCCAGTCCCCATCTGATTCTCCCTCTGGAGATGAGGAGTGAAGAAACAAAAGAGGAATGGTGGAAGGGAATTCAGTGTGTGAGTTCTAATCCTACCTCTATGATAAATCTTTGAGCCAATCTCCTAACCTCTCTGCATCTCAGTTTTCTTCTGTTGACAAGATGATCTCTAGTGCCATATTTCAGTACAGCTTGGGATCATAATCTAGAAACAAGTAGAACAAACCATATAATAAAGCTATCAACTATCATATCACCAACCAGACATCTCAAACCCAACATTTCCCAACTTGAACTTATAATCCTTTACCCTAAACTTGCTCCCCATAGGTATGTTCTGCCATCACAATGAATGGCATTATATCTTCCACCAAGTTGCCCAAACTGGGGATGAGAGATGCTTTCTGGATTTTCATTGTCATCCCTAAATCTTTTCCATTACCCAAGAGCCTCAAATATCTCCTGAATTCATCCTGTTCTTACTATGCCTCCTGTCATAGCCCTAACTAGTTCAGCCATCTATCATCATGTCAGTCCACCATCTTCTTATTACAGTAACCTTCTTATTAGTCTTCCAATTAGACCAGCAAGTTATCTGTCTAATAGGGGCCTTCTGATCATATTGCATTAAGATAATTCAATGGCTCCCCTTAATCTATTGAATACATTCAAATATTCTTAAAACATCATTGGGTACTTCATGATTTGCTTTTGTCTTCATTGATTAGGTTGTTACCACTCTATACCGTATACTCTGTACTCCAAAATTTAATTCCTTGTATCTCCTCTGACACAAGACAACATGCTCTTTCATGCATCTGGCTTTTCAGACTTGTAATTCTCTCTCCCAGAAAAGCTTTCTCCAACTTTTCCCCATTAGCAAACTCCTACTATTGCTTCTAGTTTCAGACCCAACATCATGTCAGAAACCCTCTCTTACTTTCCCAGGCAAATCCAGATGTTCCCTCATGTAGCACCCGTTGTATGTGTACATACATCGTTTAAAGCATGTATCACTTACTATCATAGTTGTTTACAGGCCTATCTCCTCTCTAGACTATGAAGAATGCATTTTCTTCTTTGGACTCCCAATTCCTAGCAGTGATCTGTCCATAGATAGCACTCAACTGACTCATTGAATTAATGGATGAGTAAGTGAATGAAGAGAGCTCTGGTAGCACAGTGCCTAAGGCACTTGCCTGCTAACCAGACGGCTGGTGGTTCAAACCCACCAGCCACTCCTTGGAAGGAAGGTTGGGCAATCTACTTCCGTAGTGATACTGCCCAAGGAGGGGTCACCATGAGTCGGGTCTGACTCAATGGTGCATAACAACAACAGCAAGTGGATGAATGAATGGATGGATGAAATAAGCTTGAAAACTTAGCTGCGGTCCTTAGACATGAAAGAAAACAAAAAAAAAAAAAAAAAAAGGAAAATTCCTGTGTCTTTACTGAAATAAGGATTGAAGGAGATAGGCTGTCTTATGCAATGTCTGGCACACATTAGGTACTAATTTCTCTTCCCTTTCAAACGATTTCCTTCTTGATTCCACTCTTCTACTCACATGCAACTTTCTCCAGCCCATTCTCTGTAGCCCATGATTCAGACTGTAGGAACTTTGTTGTTGTTGTTGTTATGTACCGTGGAGTCAGACCTGACTCATAGCGACCCCTCCTTGTGTTTCTGAGACAGTATCACTATGGAAGTGATTGACCAACCATACTTCTGAGGAGTGGCTGGTGGGTTTGAACCGCCAGCCTTCTGATTAGCAGTCAAGTGCCTTAGGCACTAAAGCAAAGGTAGAAAGTTAAAGCTTTGAAGAAATGGCTTTGAAAATGTTCACCATCATAGGTGTTTGCCCTTATTTCTTTGAATGGAAAATCTGATCATGTTGTTTCCCTATGTAAAATACTTTCATGGCTTGCCATTGCTCTTGGAATGTGAATCCCCTCACCTTGGCCATTAAGGCCCTTTGTGATGTGGCCCTGCCTCCCTGTCACTTGCTGAGCATCTCTTGATCCCTCACTCTACCCTACAGCCACAAAGTTGGAGGAAGCATTCACCAGTTGTATTTAGAAGTCAACTTGCATCCAGGATGAAGCCTTCTTAATATTGCTTTTTTCCACCAGGAACACTTGGACCTTTTATCAACTTTTCTGACCAAATAATTTCTGATCCTTCCCTCAGGGCACAGATTAAAATGCTCCATCCTCATGGAGACCTCCCCAAACCCCTTTGCAGAGGTACTCCTGTGCTCCACTCACTGCCATATGTGTTCATAGCATCTTGTCCTTTTCCTTCAGAGCCCTTACCACAGTTGTAGTTCTTTGGTTATTTGCATAATGCTCAATTGTTTGTTATCTGGTTGTAAGCTTTATGAGAACAGAAATCTATGTGTCTTATGCAGCATGGTATTCTTAATGATCAGCACAGGAAACGGCCCCCTCCATGTTCCTAGCCAGTAATTATTGATTGAAGACTCTGTACAGCAGCAGCCACAATCGTTTCAAAAAATTTACCTTTTGGTTTGAATTTGTTTTACTGTGTACCAGACTTTGTGCTAAGAGCTGGTGGATACAGTGTTAATTAAGAGAGCTTGATAGAAGGTGACTTCGAGTCAATCTTGTTGAGCTCAGGTTTCTGATGGAATGAGATTGTGATCTTTGACCCTCATTTTCCTCCATTGTAAATTATAATCACTTTATCATGGAGCTCAAATGACAGTGTTAGCATCTAACAGGACTATATATACTCAAGATTTGATGCTCAGTCCTTAGAGACCCCCAATCTGAGGAGTGGAGTCAGTAAGGACCTTCATTCCATTTATTGTAGCCTAAAGCAGTCTGTGGTACATTTTGTTATACTTAGGAATGGGGCATAAGATACTGATTGGTCTTAGGCTTGGACATTTTGATTATTATGGTTCTCTCTATTTTTTCTTTCTTTCTTATTCTCTTCTTTCCTTTCTTTTTTTCTTTCCTCTCTCTCTCTCTTTTGATTATTTTATCTAAAATTTTCCAGCAAAGCTAGGTTTCATTCTCTAATTCACTGATTAAGTATGCTGTGAGAGTGGGGCAGGGAGAGGAGAATCACAAATAAAAGTAGAGGCTGCAGATATTGTTGTTGTTATTGTTATGTGCCATTGAGTCACACCCAACTCTTAGTGAGCCTTCCTTGGGTTTCTGAGGCGGTATTGGGTAGATTGCCCAACCTTCCTTCTGAGGAGCAGCTGGTGGGTTTGAACCACCAGCCCTCTGTTTAGCAGTTAAGTGCCTTAGGCACTGTGCTACCAGAGCTTGAGTTGAGCTAAACAGATAGGTCTGACCTTGGTCAGTTTGGAACTGCTGTATGCTCTATAGTCAATCTCACCCTTTCTTTCACCCTGAGCTGGGGTTGGGCATCAGGCCCTGTTGAGGGATTAGTACATCAAATCCACCAGGGAATTGTCTCTTCATTGTCCTAATTTTAACATTTCATTCTATTTAATAGTAATAGAATGTTATGAAACCATTATATAGAGAAATTGTGTTTAACTATGTGGTGGTTACAAAGTTCTATATAGGACTCAATTCTGCCATTCAAAACAGTAATCATTGATGGCATTTTTTGGGGTGACCAATGTATAGCAGATGCTGCACTCTGCTCTTGGGCATGTATTATTTCATTTATTCCTAACAACAGCCCTATGAGGAAAGCAGTAATGCTGTCCCCATCTACTACTGAGGAAACAGTTTGTGGAACTTGCCTAGGTCATATGACAGTGATTGGCAGAGCTGAAGTTCCCACCCAATAATGACAAGATGGGGCAATCTAGTTCCATAGTGATACTGCCTAGGAAACTCAAGGAGGGGTCGCTATGAGTCGGGGCCGACTCGACGGCATATAACAACAACAACAACAAAAGCTTGGGATCAACCAGCATACCACATACTTCTCCCTTTCAAGGTCTACTAGGAATGAGAGACTGAATGCATATTCATAAGTCCAAGGCAGAATTGCATAAATATTGTAAGCCTGGCACAAAGCATGCAGAAGAAATGCAAAAGAAACACAAGAGCAGGGTGGGAGGTCAGATAAGAATGTGCACAGAAGCATCTGAGAAAGGGCTAAGTCCCTCTGAGCAGGGAGAAGAGTAGTAAAGGCAGACACCCTGATGGTGTGTGGTAAGACAGTCACTGTAGTTGGACTTCAAGGCATGGGGTGATGAAATGGAATAAGAGGGAGATGAAGGCAAAATACAACCTCCTTCCAAGGTAATAGCCCTTAACCACAGAGATGAAACATTTTGCTATGAGGTCTCATTTTCCAGTAAGATCCATGCTTCAGAGAAACAACTTTCAGTAGTAGGGATTTTAGACCCCAAACTGGTGAAGCAGTGCAGTTACCTGCTGGTTGGAAGCAATTTAAGGCTAAGCTGAGTTTCAATGCTCCATCTCTTGATCCTGATAGCCCAGGCCTGGCTTCCTGACACTAACTCCTTTTCTCTGCCCTCTCTTGCAGCTCTTGCAAGAGGCCACCATGAGCTCTCTCTGGTGCTCAGGGACTGGAGATGTGATTGAGGACTGGTGTCGCTGTGACTCCACTGCTTTTGGAGCTGATGGACTTCCTACTTGTGCGCCTCTCCCACAGCCTGTGTACGGTGCCCTTTCTCTGTCTCTTTCTAGCACATGTACCTCAGTGTCATTCTTCAAACAAATGGGCCAGATACTAAGGAACAGAAAGAAAAACATGACACAGTCAATACCTTCCTTCAAGGAGCTTCCAATCTATTAGGGAAGACAGGTACACACAAATTGTCATAGTAAAAGAAATGGCTTGACAAGTGCTATAGGAAGCATGTAAAGAAAGTATGAATGATGAAGAGGGAATGTCGAGTTTGAATCTGGGAAATGGTGATGATTTCATGGAGGAGATGGTACTTGAACTTCTCCTTGAAGGTGGAGAAAGTATCAAGAGATATGGTTGGGAAATTAGGAAAGAAGAGGATTACATGTGAAATAAACAACATGGCCAGAAGATAAAGGAGGTGAAAGTGCTGTTGCAATGGAGGAAAGTAGAGAGCTATAATGAGACCCTACACAGATTTTGGCAGTACAACAACAACATAACTTCTTACTGAAAACTTCCTGTGGGCCAGGCTCTTTACTGAGCAGTTAGCTATTGATATCATCTACCCCCCCCCCCATGTAATAGACAAGGAAACAGACTCAGATGGTGCTATTGATTAAATTCTATCTCCTCAAAATATGTGTGGAAATCCTTACCCCTAGGCCTGTGGATATGATCCCACTGAAAATAAGGTTTTCTTTGTTATATTAATTAGATCGCATCTGACTTGAGTAGATTCAAAATCTGATCACTTCTGAGTTATAAAAATAGTAGCATAGACAGAGACATGAACACAGAGGTGAAGACAGACATCATGTGAAGATTGTCAAGGGGCCAAGGAACACCCAGGGCTAGCAACTAGGAAGGAATTGACACAACTGAAACTCTGGTTAGGATTTCTAGCCTCCAGAGCCATGGAAAAACACATTTCTGTTCTTTAAAGCCATCCACTAAAGGCATTTATGTTACAGCAGCACTAGACAAGTAAGAGGGATGTATTGAATGCATTTTCTAAGGTCACAGAGCAGGAAGCAGAACTATGGCTAAGAGACCACGCTCTTAGCCATTATAGTATAGAGAGGATAGAACTGAGAGAAGTTTTTTTTTGGGGGGTAGAACCAAGAGTGCTTAGTAACTGATTGAATGTGAGGATGAGAAGAAAGAAGAAGCTAAGAATGGCCTTAAAACTTCTGATCTGGTTTGCTGGAAAAAGGAAATGGAACAATTGAGAAACGAAGCATCTGAGGATAAGCAGGTTCGAGGAAAAGCTTGTTGAATTCTGGAGGTATTGTGGGGCAGTCCTGGAGAGCTGTTCAGTTCCAGATGGAAAGATAGCCTGAAGCTCTGCAAAAAAAGGTGAACACTAGAGTGAGAAGGTTTAAGTCAACCCCAAGGAAATGAGAGATGGATCCACAGCTATGGGAAAAGTTGCTCCAGAACAGGTTTCAACTGGGAAGATCATTGAGCCAAGGGTGAGCAATTGGAGCTCTCTGCATTTGAGGAGTGATCAGAGGACCAAGTGCTGCAAAGATGGCTGAGAAAGAACACATACAATTTCTTTTCCCTCAGAGGAATGCTAAACGGAAGTGGCTGAGCTCATTTGAGTCCTGAAGTGCCAGGGCCTGAGGCAGGATCCCCTCTCAGCTTCTAATATGGCATCTGGCTAGAAGTAAAGACAGAGCCAGGGAACTTTGTGTCTAATTAAGAGTACTGGAAAGATAAGCTGGAGGAGAATGGGCCCACAAGTTGGCAGGGAAAACAAACCTGAAGTGGGGATTAGAGCCTGAGGTACCAGGAGGATCAAGAGAGCAAGGAGCAAGGGACCACAAGAGGAAACCTGCCAGTGGGAGGCTGGTTTGGGTGAACATTGTCCTCTGACCTGTTATGTGGCAGTGGGATAGGCATCAAAGGGCTAACTGAGCAAGAAGAAAACTCTCAGAAAAAGAGGGAGAACTCAGAGTACAGTGCCTTTACAAGCCAACATCTCTTATTTACAGTCTTCCTTTTCTATGTGTATCATTTTATATACACCAGCCATTAGTGTATCTTCTTTTTTACAGCCATGATTTAGATCTCCTGCATCAAAAAAGAATCAAACTCATTATTATTTGCATTATTTTCTGAGTAGTTGAATTCCTTGCTATTGCTTCCAGAGTTTCTACACTTTTCTCGAAACTCTTATCACACCACATTCTTATGTTGTTGTTGTTGTTATGTGCCATCGAGTCAGACCCGACTCATAGCGACCCCTCCTTGGGTTTCCAAGGCAGTATCACTACCGAAGTAGGTTGCCTCATCTTCCTTCTGAGGAGTGAGGTTTGAACTGCCAGCCTTCTGGTTAGCAGTCAAGTGCCTAGGCACTATGCTACCAGAGCTCCCACATTATTATAATCACATCTATAATTGTATATTTTCTATTGGCCACTAAATTCCATAAAAGAGGGATCTAGGTCTGGCTTGTGCACCACGGCCTCCACGGCACTGAGCACATTCTTAGAACTCATAGGTGCTCAATAAATATGTGTTGGATTGGAGTGAACGTTGTAGATGTGATCCATCCACAATATATTGACCAGTGATCCTTGAGACCATGACAAGATTCTGTGAGCTGAATGAAGGACAGAAAGACAAGGGTTAGGAATGGTCTCATGATATGGGAACCAAGAAAGGGAGTGAATGGGAGAAGTATATGCAAGGGAGAGAGGCTGAAGTGATCAGGAATTGGGAAAATACCCAGAAGCCAGTGGTCTAGGGAGAAACAGGAATTGGAAGCAGTAAGAAACCTGAAATGAAGTCAGAACAAGGCAGCAAATTAAAACCACTCAGACCATTAGGAGATCCATACCAGTGATTGTCAGTAATGTTTACTGAGTATCTACAAGCTACAAAGCAGAACATCCTAGAGGTACAAGATGGCCAGCCCAGACAGTAGTCAAAATGGGTAACTTGTACAGAATGAAGAGACTATGAATTGGGAAAAGCAAGGAAAGGCTGGCATCAGGATATTCTTAAAAAACCTAAGAGCAGATACTGAAATCAGAACCTGAGTGAACAGGGTGGGACATGACCCCTGACATGTAGCCAACTTTCTCGTACCCAGTTGAGTCCCTTATGAGCATTATCTCCAAACTAAGTTTGATACAAGGCCCAGTCAGCAGAGGAAGAAGTTATAGGCCCTCAGCCAGAGAGGAAGCCAGGGTTTCCATGGCAGGGCAGATCCTGGAAATGCTTTGGAAACTGAACTAACCATGATTTTGTTAATGTAAGGCTGTCCCAGGCACTACCTTCAATGGACCTGTTTATGAGCATTGCATGCACATTCTCTTAAACGTTTTTCAAAAGAGAATGCAGGGATTATATTATTTGAAAGTCATACAATGAATAGTATTACAAAAGCCTTATAAGCCCTGTAATGTAAAATGCAGATGGTCATTTTTCTTTGATTCATCCACATATTTACTTGTTTGTAACTGTTTAGAGTTTTTAGTCTGTATCAGGTGCTAAGATGGGTAAGACATAGATATAAGGATCCTTAAGAACTTTACTATTTAGTGAAGAAGTTGTTGTTAACGGCCATTGAGTCAGCCCCAAACTCATGGGGAGCCCATGCACATTGGCATTGGACTCCTGTGATCCATAGGGCTTTTATTAACTGATTTTCAGAAGCACAGTTGATCCTTGAACAATGCAGGGGTTAGGAGCACAGCCCTCTCACACACATGCAGTTGAAAATCCATGTAGAACTTTTGACTTTCCAAAAACGTAACTACTAATAGGCTCCTGTTACAATGACATAAACAGTGAATTAATACAGTTCTTGCCATGCAGTTATTAGATTTTCACATGAAGACATTCACACACTTACACAACAGATAAGTTTATTAGCTGTACAGTATGATGATTGTTTACTATTCATTAAGTACAAGTAGATCATCATAAAGATCTTCATCCTCATTGGAAGCGGAGGTAGGAGAGGCAGGCACACTTGTTATAATTTTACAGAAATACATCATAGTTTCTGTATGACTTGTTTGCCTTTTTATTTCACTAACAATGTTTCTATATGGTACCAATTCTACCACTGTTTGCTTTAGTTTCAGTGCCCATATCATAGAAGGGTCTATATCATAAAAGAAGTCAAAAGCAGTCTTGAATAATTGGAACCCTTTTGCCAGATTGTCTAATGTCAGTTTGTTTTCTGGCACTGCTTCTGGTACATCTTCTTCCTCATCGTCTGGCACTAGATCAGAAGCACTAATCTCTATTAAATCGTCTTCTGTTAATTCTTCTGGTGTGGTGTCTTTTAGTTCTTGAATATCTCCAATATCCATATCTTGAAAAAAATTTTCTGTATGAATGGACCTGCACAGTTGGAACTTGTGTTGTTCAAGGGTCAACTGTAAATTGCAAGCCGTTTTTCTTAGTCTGTCTTAGATTGGAAACTCTGATGAAACCTGTTCAACATCATAGCTGAGTAATGGCAGTACATAAGGTGTGTTGACTGAGAATTAAACCCAGGTATCCCACGTGGAAGGTGAGGATTTTACTGAACCACTATTGCCCCAGAGTGAAAGAGACAGACCCCCAAGTAGATAATTTTAGTAGTCGGTTCAGAAAGGTTAGAAAGAAGAGTTTACCATGTAACAGTTGAGGAAATGACTAGTGGTGGTATCAGAAGACCATTGCAAATCTCTACTGCGTCCCCATTTCACATTCCTTCCTGTCTGCACATAGGCTAAGACTCTCCACGGTTCATGAGCCCAGCAGCACCCTGGTGGTCCTAGAGTGGGAACACTCAGAGCCACCAATCGGGGTGCAGATTGTAGATTACCTTATCCGTCAAGAGAAGGTCACCGACAGGATGGACCATTCCAAAGTGGAGACAGGTGAGCACTTCCTACTTCAAATCTCAATGCAGGTAAAAATACATCCAATGAGACATGCCCTGCCTCAGGGCTTTGCTCCAGGTCTCCAGTATGCCCAGGCAACGATGGAGGAGCAGGAAGAAGAAGCAGCTGTTGCTTCTTCCAAGCAGCAACCATCTTTTACATTTTATGAGTTTTTGCATAGTGAGCATCTGACAAAGTCTTGTTTTGACTTTGTTTTGCTTTTTGTTTATAAAAGAGGTGTACATTTCATTGCCTCTGGGCACACTCACAAAGAAACAACAGCACAGTACACTAGTTATCCGAGCCCACAATTAGGAAACAATTCTCTGCTAACCACTGCCATGATTACAGAAAAAAGATTCCTTTGCTAATAACCCCCCTCAAGGCAAAAGCATGTGCAAACAGATGTGCTTGCCCCACGTTTTGTCCTAAAGCAAACTCAGCTTTTGTCAGGTCCAGCTGGAAGAGGGAGGCCTTAAAAGAGTGAGAGTGTCCCATGAAAACTGTACCATCTCTTAGTATTTTGCTGTCTACACATATAGAAAGGCCAACATAAATAATCCTTCAGTTTACACATGAGATTTGGTCATCAGTGGGATGGTAGCATCCACAATCTAATTCAGGGCAAATACTTTCTGGGGCATCTATCATTGAGGCTTGAAGCTGTAGTTGAAGCTGCCTTCTGTTACAGAAAGTCTTCTATTGCTTCTTCTGAGTCCCCTTCCATGATGTGCACAGGTACTGCTAAGGTATAGCAGTAATCATTGGCCAGAACAGCTCTCTGCCCGTGCCAAGACAATTTCGAAAAAGAACTCACAAATGTGGTATGTACATATTTCCCTAGCTGTTTCTGAACTAACTATGGGCAAGTGGGTCTACCTTGATTGATTAAATATGAAACAATAAAAAAAAAGACCCTTTGTTCTAGGTCATCTTTCTCTACTGTGGATTTAGGAAGACAGGGAACCAAGCAGTTTTAATATTAAATTCTCACCGAGTTAATTCTTTGTCATCTTTGCTGGTTTGTCACTGTTTCTTATGTCTTCTCCATTCCTTTCTATCTGGGCAGAAACAGTGTTGAGCTTTGTAGATGACATCATCTCTGGAGCGAAGTCTCCTTGTGCCATGCCATCTCAGGTGCCAGACAAGCAACTCACCACTATCTCTCTGATCATCCGATGCCTGGAGCCTGACACCATTTACATGTGAGTAACACAAAACCTGCCTAATTATTTCTTACCCTAAAATTCCAAGGTTTTTAGATGGTCCCCCCTTTTTAAAGTTGAGGTGAAATGCTAAAACATAAAATTAACCATTTTAAAGTAAACAGTTCAGTGGCATGTACTAAAGTACATTCACAGTGCTGTGCAACCACCACCTTTATATAATTCCAAACATTTTCATCACCCTAAAATATAGCATAGTGCCTAAGGCACTTGACTGCTCACCAGAAGGCTGGTGGTTCAAACCCACCAGCCACTCCTCGGAAGGAAGGTTGGGCAATCCTACTTCCGTAGTGATACTGCCTCGGAAACCCAAGGAGGGGTAGCTATGAGTCGGGGGCGACTCGATGGCAAACAACAACAACAAAATAAAATAAGCAGTGATTGTCCATTTGTTCCCCCTCAGCCCCTGGCAACTACCAACCTGATCCCTGTTTCTATTTTAGATATTTCCTATAAATGAAATCATACAATATGTGACCTTTTGTGCCTGGCTTCTTTCACTTAGCACAATGTTTTGAAGTTCATCTACTTTGTAAGTGTATAGTAGCACTTCACTACTTTTGATGGCTGTTTAATATTCCATTGCAGTATATACTACTTTTTTTTTTTTTTAATGCATTTGTCTGTTGCTGGGCATTTGTGTTGTTCCCACCTTTTGGCTATTGTGAATAATGCTGCTATGAACATTCTTGTAAACATATTTGAGTTTCTGATTTCTATTCTTTGGGGTATATACTTAAGAGTGGAAATGCTGGGTAATATGGTAATTCTGGGAGCTCTGGTAGTGTAGTGCCTAAGGTACTTGAATGCTGCCAGGAGGTTCAAACCCACAAGCCACTCCTTGGAAGGAAGTTTGGGCAATCTACTTCCATAGTGATATCGCCTTGGAAATCCAAGGAGGGGTCACTATGAGTTGGGTCTGACTCGACAGCACACGACAACAGCAACATCATAGTTCTATATTTAACTTTTTGAGGATCCACCAAGCTCTTTTACACAGTAGCTGTAGCATTTTATATCACCACCACCAAGGTACAAGAGTTCCAATTTCTCTACAGTCTCTTCAATGGTATATTCTCATGATAATGATAATGGTAATGATGGAGATGATTACAGCCATCCTAATTGAGTGTGAAGTGGTAGCTGGTTCCTTTTAGCTACTTGAGCTCCTTTAGGGACTTGGCAAAACATTTGAGGTTGCTGAAATCTTGTCCCACCTGGCATTGTAGAGCACCTTATTGAGTGCGATGCACTGAAGTGGGAAGAACAAAGGAATAATCTAGATCCATCCTTCAAGGATTTGGCAACATAGAGGGGAAATCTATAAACCAGTAACTTTAGCATCAGCCAGAATGAAATAAATGTTAAATGGAAGAGGAAGGAACACATTGTGGAAGAAAAGAAATGATTGAGTCTGACTATAGTGGGTACATCTGAATTGGGTTGTGTAGAATTTCATTAAGTAGTGTTGGAAAAGGCACAGCAGGTTGGGAAAACAGCAAGGGCTAAGGTGAAGTGCATGAAGGTGAGTAGCAAGTGGTCCAGAAGGCTGAAGCAGCCAGTGAGTAAAAGGAAATGGAAGAAAATGAGATTTGAAAAGTAGAGTGAATGCCATGTATCACAAGAGACTATTAAATTGTGTTGAGGAAGGAAGTAGAATGCCAAGAATTCTGCTTTAGAAAGCTAGCTCTGGTGGCATTGCCATGGAGAGTTTATAGAGGTTAGAGATGGTCAGCACTTTTCTTTGAAGAAAAATACAGAAACCCCAACATCATGGCACTTGAAACAACCCTATTCTCTGTGTGAACTCTTCATTTCTCCCCATGCTCTGAGAACAGTTGTAAAATATTTGTGAAGTAGAAGCAGAAGACATCAAAAGAAGAGAGATAATGATAGAATGTAAGGCACGGTGGAAAAAATGTGGGAGCTAAGGCAGAATTCATAGTGATGTAGTTCTGGGACCTCTTGACCCCAACAGTATGAAAAACACTTAACAGTTCACAGAGGAGGTCACAAGAATAGAGTCCAGTTTTCTGAATAAATAATTTCCATTCCCACAGTTAAAGAGTTCAAAGAAGAAAAGCACCAGAAATTTGAGTTGGCATTGATCACACAATGAACTCAGAGGCTCCAACTGAAATAGCATAGGAACAGAGAATGTAACTAGGGACTGTTAACAATGAAAGTAAAATGCATAAAGACAAGTGATATTCTATAAGATTTGGAAAGTACATATACAATAATACTAGGATCAAGGTAAATCAGTTTACTTTTTGAGTGTCACCACTGATGGCATATTCCTCATCAGTTCCCATGATACTGGGCAGCTGTGGCTCTTCATTAGGAAGAGGACAGGCAAAAGGAACAAGGGCTTGGGATTGTGGGCCACCTAACCATTATCACTTCCCATGGAGTAGATTCTGACTCATGGCAACCCCAAGTGTTTCAGAGCAGAAGTGCGCTTAGTAGGATTGTCGTGGCTGTGACCTTTCACGTGCAGGTTGTCAGCCTTTTTTCCAAGGCACCTCTGAGTGGGTTTGAACTGCCAACCTTTTGGTTAGTAGCTGAGCACTTAACTGTTTGCACCACACAGAGATTTTGGCTACCTATCCTGCTGTAAGTAGCTCTGATGGCACAGTGCCTAAGGCACTTGACTGCTAACCAGAAGGCTGGCCGTTCAAACCCACTAGCCACTCCTCAGAAGGAAGTTTGGGCAGTCTACTTCCATAGAGATACTGCCTTGGAAACCCAAGGAGGGGTCACTATAAGTCTGAATCGACTTGTCAGCAGTGAGTTTAGTTTTTTTGTTTTATCCTGCTGTAAAGGAAGGTTGGGCAATCTACTTCCATAGTGATACCACCTCAGAAACCCAAGGAGGGGTCGCTATGAGTCGGGTACAACTCAATGGCACATAACAAGAACAATAACAACAAATCTCAAACTTGATGAAACTTGAATTAGTTCAAAAGTTACGGAGTTTTATTCATTCATTTATAAGAAGGGCTCAAGAATTCCTGTCAGCAAATCACCGATGCTAACTAGAAATTTCAAAGTGCTTCTGTCCATGAGGTTGACAGAGTTGTCTGTTAGGAATTTCAGTCATTACTCATCCTGGGATTCATCTCTTGTTGTCTTGATTTGACCATGTTTCCTGATCAAAGACCTGAGGACAGTACCTTCTTCTACTCCTACTTTGTGTGTGTGTGTGTGTGTGTGTATGTGAAATTCCAGGGTTACTATCCACACCGCCCCTTCCCCCAAAAAAACGCATTGCCATCAAATCAATTCCAACTCATAGTGACCCTGTAGTACAGAGTAGAACTGCCCTAGAGGGTTTCCATGGCTGTAATCGTTAGGGAAGCAGAATGCTTTATCTTTCTGCCCATAGAGCAGCTGGTAGATTCTAACTTCTAACTTTTCTGTGAGCAGCCACACACTAACCTCTGTGCCAATAGGGCTCTGTTAGCCTCTAGTGTTTTGTAAAGCATATACTTTCTGTGTATACTTATTATTAAAGAAGTTATAAAGTACAAAAAGAAGGAAACAACCTGGTTAAGTTCCATGAACAAATGAATAGATAAACTGTGGTATGTACACATACTGGAATATTACCCAATGTTGAAGAAGAATGATGAATCTGCAAAAATACCTCATAACATGGATGAACCTAGAGAACATTATGCTGAGTGAAATTAGTCAGTCACAAAAGGACAAATATTACATGAGACCAGTATTAGAAAAAGTCAAGAAAATATTTACACACAGAAAGAAACATTCTTTGAAGATTACCAGGGGTTGGAGGGGAAAGGAGGGAAATTCACTAACTAGAGGGTGGACATGTGTTATTTAGGAGTAAGAAAAGGTGATATGCAATAAGGGAGAGATCAGCAGAAAATGATTGAAGCAAAGGAAGACAATGGAAGGAGCACAAGGGTTATATTTAGGTTTGGCACAGGATATTTCTACATATGTATCTATTTGTGCTGCAAATATATCCATAAATATACTAGCCCACACAGAGAACAAAGTTATGAAAACTTCTTAGCCATAACCAGACATCTCAAGGGAATGAGTTGCTGGGCCTAGGCGCTCAAGGTCAATTGGAATAACATAGTCCACAAAGGCAATGTTCTACATCCTCTTTTGGTGAGTCACTACTCACCTAAGGGCTTAAAAGCTTGTGAGTGGCCTTCTGAAGTACAACTATTGCTCTCTCCCTGTCTGGGACAAAGAAGAGTCAAGAAAAATGAAAGACACAAGGAAACAATTAGTCCAAAGAACTAAAGGACCACATGAACCCCAGCCTCCATGACTATGGCATCAGTACTAGATGGTGCCTGGCTACTGCTGCTGACCACTCTGAAAGGGATCAGAATAGGAAGCTTTGGATGTTGTTATTAGGTGCTGTTGAATCATCTCTGACTCATAGCGACCCTATGTACAACGGAATGAAACACTGCCCTGCCCTGTGCCAGCCCCACAATTCTTGCTACACCTGAGTCTATTGTTGCAGCTACTGTGTCAGTCCATCTCGTTGAGGGCATTCCCCTTTTTTGTTGACCCTTTATCAAGCATGATATCCTTCTCCAGGGAATGGTCCATGTCATGACAACATGACCACAGTAGGTGAGATGAAGTCTGGTGATTCTCACTTCCAAGGAGCATGCTGGCTGCACTTCTTCCAGGACAGATTTGTTCATTCTTTTAGCAGTCCATGCTACTTTCAGTGGTCTTTGCCAATGCCACAGCTCAAAAGCTTCAACTTTTCTTTGGTCTTCCTTATTCATTGTCCGGCTCTCATATGCATTGTGGGGATTGTAATCAATGTCAAAAAACAAAATATGTATGAACTGTTGAATGTAAAACCAATTTGTTCTGTAAACTTTCACCCAAATCACAATAAGAAATTATAAAAAAAAGAAAGTACACGGGGTTCAGGGAAAGAAAGCCCACATCCACTAGGTGGCGCTACAGATCAC